CCCAAAAAAAAAACCAAAAGTGTATTTTTATAATTTTTGCATGGTGTACAGTCTGGAAAGTACCCACATGGCAAATTTCCAGTTTGTTGCATGTCGGGAAGTACGCTAAACATTTTGAACAGACACACATTCACAACTTTGCCTTATATATGGAGATATACAGCCCTTTAAAAATCCACTGCTGTTATTATATTCTGCATAGTAAATCATGAAAAATTTGCCGTGATGCTCAAGAGATCAACAATGAAGAGATTCTGGTAGAGCGATTTTATCAATCAGCTGTTAGACGTCGGCTTCCCCAAGCTGTATAGATCGAGGGGCTTGTTTGACCGTACTTCACCACACCGGTAACGTGCGAGATGGCGGCACATTGGGGTGGGATCTTCACCCCGCTCGATAACAGAAATCTTCTCGAGCAGCGGCTTGGTCACCTGCGGTTCCGGAGCCACCAGCGGCTCTTTCAGGGACTCGTGACACCGTTGTTTATGTATTTATTTACTAAAGACCCAACGTCTCGTATTGACGCGCGTTGTGGCTCTTGGAATATTGAAGGGGGGGTTGCCGATATCGACAGAAACATCTCTTCTTGTTATTTTGTCTGTCGACCGCTGTTCTAAAGCGTTTATCTTTCGAGCGTGACAAGTGCCGTATCTTCACATGGACCTCCGATTAGCGCGGTTGGTTAGGGACGGTGCGAAAGAAGTTCAATATACGTGCATACATGACTTAGAATCCAGCATAAAATCATAATCCCAGCCATTGTCTATTCACTGCTGGATGAGGAGGGCATTCCTCCAAGCCGTCGCCACCATCCCGTTAGGATTCTCCCACCGACCCAGCCTCCCCACTCAAGCCACGAGACAGCGACACGTGTCGCTGTCTCGACACGTGTCGCTGTCTCGACACGTGTCGCTGTCTCGACACGTATTGCTGTCTCGACACGTGTCGCTGTCTCGACACGTGTCGCTGTCCCGACACGTGTCGCTGTCTCGACACGTATCGCTGTCTCGACACGTGTCGCTGTCTCGACACGTATCGCTGTCTCGACATGTGTAGCAGCGTCCGTTTGCTGCGGGCTTGTGCGAATGTGTTGGCCACCCGCCCCCTCGTGTACCGTGCTCGCCTACATCGGTGCTCACGAACAGCACTTGCCCTAACAGCCCGTTTAAGGCGACACGAGGTGGGTCTTTGTATGTACGTCGTGTAGCGCGCGGGCTCGATTCTCGCTCACGGTCAACACCAGCGACGATTATCTGAGCCGGTCTTGAGCCTCCTCCCCTAGGTCAACCCAGCCTCAAATCACTTCCTGATGCGTAGTGTAAACATCGCTACTGGGGAGACAAAGGCGGTCGGGCGTGGTTGCTGGCCAACCCACGCATCGTGTGCCGTGCCGGCCTTCGTTGGTGCTCGCTCACAGCACTTGCCCACCCCCCACCCCCAACAGTCTGTCAAGCTGTTGCCGCCACTGCAGCAACAGCTTGAAGATGACGCGCGCCACGCCAACCCCCCCCCCCCCCCCTCTGTTTTCGCCCCCTCTTCCGGAATGAATCAATTCCTAGCAGCAGACAGAAGCACGCGCCCGTTGATCCCATTGGCTCCCGCGATTATCGAAGCCCCCCCCCCCCCCCCGGTTTTGTTTATGAATCTCTCTTTGCCCCCCCCCCCACCGCGTCGGCAAGACAGCGTCTCGTGAGCGGAGTTTTATTATTCTTCTTCTTCATATTTGTGTGACGCGCGACAGACCGCCTGCCCTGCGCCGGATTAGGCCATGGTAATGATTGTCCATTGGCGCTGCTGCTACTTGGTTCTCTTTTACAGATGACGGCATTTTTTTCCCGAGTAACTCCGTTGTTATTAACGATAACGGCGCTTTATAATCATTCATCATCGTCATTATCATCATCATCATCTATTGCTTTGTCGGTCGACAATCACCCAATCGTATAATAGTAATTAAATATATATTAATATGCGGAGTCTCAATTCTTACATATGACCAAGGGCTCCAAGTGCAATGTGGGTTAATCAGGGATTTGTTTTTGTATCCATACTTCACCATGCCGGTCAGAGCGGATTGCCAAAAAGGATAACCCCAGGGCAGGTGTTGACATCGCTTGCTCAGCGATGTTGGCCGTGGTCAGGAGTCGAACTTAGGTGGCCGGGCTTATAGCACAGCGCGCTAACCACGGCACCACCGATGCATCTCCATCTAGTCACATAGACAGTCTATACTATACATATACTGTATTTAGTCAGCGAATATAATTGAATTAATTGAATCACCCTGGTGAGCGCATTGTGTCACAGTACAGGAATCTATTAGTTGTAACTCATTAGAGCTACGTGCCTGGAGAAAGGATAAGGTGATGTTTTGTATTCAATATTTAATGCGATGGTTCGAGCGGTGGTGCTGCGGTTAGCGTACTGCGCTACGAACCCGGCCTCACCAGAGTTCGATTCCTGGCCACGGCTCACTTAAGCCGCGAGCGAAATGTGATCCGACCCCGGTCCTGGGTAACCAGATTAACCAATAACCCACAATGACCGGCGTGGTGAAGTATGGTCAAACAATCCACACGGGTTGACACGGCGTGAGTGGTGAATTTACACAGAGCTGTTTAATTATATTATCATTGATATCACTGTATAAATATCTAACTTTGAAGACAAATCATTGTGAATATACTGAATCATGATTTGTAAATGTATATACAAACGAAAACAATTCAGATATACATTTGGCCATTATAGTAGCGTCATTGCATTGCGCTTATGAAACTTTATGAAATGACATACGTGCATGAATTACATTTGTATATCTCACTTTAAATACACTACTCGTGCCAATAGTATACAACTGGTGTAATATACAGACACTATGGATGTGTATACGACGTTTATATAAACAGTGCAGATAATCATATTGTATCGTTATAAGCAAATGACCCATCAAGTGTGTAAATGGACTGTAATTAAATAGAGTGAAAACAGAATAATACACATTCACATTAGCTGCGTGAACGTACAATTCACATTTATGTTCAGAGCTAATCTGGTGGGTTATTATTTTTTTCGTAGGCGACACGATGCGTAATCGCGTGTCAGCTACATCAGATGAGTAACTTCACTCAGGTAATTAACTACAGGCTGAGCTCGCTGTTGCTCTTAATTAGGAACGTAGTAAGCACGTGTCGCGAAGAGAAGTTATTCTTAAACATCACACCGTATATTCGAATTAACATGATTGCATTTGTGCAAACGCTTTGCTCTTATATAGAATATAGAGATTTCCCATATCTGCATTGCAAACGATCTTTTAAAATTGCGTAATCGCATAGTTGGCGCATAAACAATAAAAATCTGTAGCACAATACAATAGAAAATTACAATTAGTGACTGGAAATTAAAAAAAATGTGTCCGGCTATGTTGCGTCATCTATTTCGATTCCTGATCTTTGAGCGTCGAAGCTACTGCGCTACCCCCCCACCCCGCAATGGAAGTAATATTTGTTTAATGAATGTAGAGGGGTATTTGGAAAAGTCCAGCATAATGATAAGATCATACTTTTAACTTGCGCAGTATTCGTTCGCTCGGAAACATGAGGGCTCGTAGGCGTGAGGAACCACAGACAAGCCAGCGCCGACGATTGCCCAAGCTCAGAGGTCCTCTATATATTAAGATGTTTTCAGCCAATGCGTGGCGACTAGAGGTAATCTTACGCGTTATATACAATTGTAAGCGTCGCTGTGGGAAAATGTAAGCAGAACTGCGTTCTGTCGTGCACACAACTAAAATGCAAACATCACGTCTAGTCCATCAGATGATCGGCCTTCAGGACTAATACTATGAAAGCAACATTTATCCGAGCAAGTAATATTCTGGACCGGTTTCGATCCACTGGATGTCATCGGCGTATAGTCAGGCTCGTTATAAACAAAATATACCTGGGGAAGGGACGTGACCGGGGGTGGATCGCGTCTCGCCACCCTCCTCGTTTACCATCGTGGCATTGAACGCAAGTGCACACAATGATATCTACCCTCGCTGCTACGGTACCACGCACCCACAACTATATACGACCGCAGAGTGATACGCCATTAGCAATGTAGCGTGGTAAATGTGCCACACCCCCCCTCCTACTTGCCTTGCTGCACTTCTTCATTCGTCACCCTCCTTCGCCACACTTGTGTACCCCAGGTTGCCCGTGGCATCATCCACCACCAACCCACCCATCACCCAACCGGCTCTCAATGCGTGGCGTGCGGGCACAGCAACAGCGCACATCATCCAACCTATAACACATGCACCACGGCTTGGTAAAAGCGTGTGCCGTGTACGTCTGCTGTGTTTTTTTTGTGGAATTCGCTTTGAATGCTCTACTGTGTGTATATACGTTGTGTTATCAGTTGCGATATGTGGATGGGTGGGCCTCGGTGACAACGTGGTCACTACAATGATATTCACGCGTGATCGCGCAATATGTATATACATACGCACGTATATGTACGGCTTATCCCGTACAACTCGGCGCTACGTGCTTTTTTAGTTTTTGAGAAAGAAAGCAATGTATTTAACGAAATCATAGACCACAGCGTATTCTTCGTAATGCTCTTCGGCTGCCAAAATGTGTTTTGCTCGCTCGAGTGAATGCGACGCCGATGCTGTACAAAGAATCAACAGCGACGCTACGGGGATGTGCGATGCTTTTGACGGAATGCTTCGTTGACGTTAAGGTTCGTAGACGAAAGATCATCTTGACGAGATACAATCAAAAGCATGTCCTCTTCGTTAGCGCGTTGTCTTGGCCGAACGCGTTAAATACAACTCGTTACGATAACGATACCAGTCGACAAATATCACAATCCGGCCAAAGCCTCCATCGGCTAAGAAGACGGCACGCTGCAAAGCATATGGGCATTTGTAGAGCAAGCGTTCAAAAATAACTCACCCCCCCCCTCTCCTCTGTCGCACGTGCTTTTATAACAAACGAAACAAGTCGGAGCGATCTTATAAAAAATAAAATCAACACAACAAACACCGTGTAAAATCTACGCGGGGCGGACGTGGCAACGCTGCGGCTCGCTTGCCCCGCTTCTTCTTTATTCCGAGCGGGGGAGCTTCGGAGCGATCCCAAAAAGATCTGCCTGAGAGCGGGGGGGGGGGGGCGCTTCTCTCTCTCTCTTATTGTCAAGGGACTTTGTGAGAGCCGCACAACATAAGACGCCTCCGACAACAGGTGCGTGGTGCTGCAGCCGCGAGCGAGAGCGCAGAAGAGGCTCGGCACGGGCAGAGCAACAGACACGGACGCGGCTGCGCAGGCCACTCCCGAAAGGAAAAAAAAAAGCCTCCTCCTCCTCCAACCTCCTTCTCTACTTGTTCTTTCCTCCCCTTCGCATCTCGTCCCCTGCAGGCCACGCGATGTCAGCGCCTTTCCCGGGGCTCATGCATGAGGCTGAGGTAGGCGAGAGCAATTGCACGGTGCTTTGTGGTTGGGGTTTTTGGAGCGATGCGGAGGGCGAGTGTTGCGAGGGGAGAGAGAGGAGAAGTAGGAGGAGGGGGGTGGTGGTGTTTTGACCGTCGGAGTTGACGAGATCAACTTGGCCTTGTGCTCGCGTGCATCGGCAGACATCTGTCGCCTGCGGGACTCCGTTGCGCCGACTCCCGCACCGCAACAACAACAGAACCGAGTCTCTGCTAACATCTGGGTCTCCCCCCCCCCCAGACAAACCCACCCTCGAATTACCTCCCAGATTCACGGCGAGTTTTCATTAGATCTCGTGCACCGGCTGAACGATATACTGACGCGGATGTCTGTTGGTAATTTATTTTTCTTCTTGTTCTTCACCATTTCCACTTTTGAGCGGAGTCATTTTGTTTAAAAGCTCTCCTCCCAATTCCCCCTCTAGGCGAGTCGTTTAATGTGGCGGGCGGACGCGGCGGCTCCAAGGCTCTCCCCCCCCCCACCAGCACCACCGCAACCTCACGAACACCACCACCACCTCCCTCCCCACCACCACCTCTTTTAACCCCCCCCACCACCACCGCTCGCAACCCCGACCCAGATGCGAGCTGACGGCTCCAACAGCTACCGACTGATGCAGCTGGGCTGCCTCGAGTCATCGCCGTCTCCCCTCGCCTATCCGGCCGCGGCGGCGGCGCCGGACTTCGGGTCAGCCTACTTCTCCGGCACGCCGCAGTACAATGCCCTGCACCACCACCACCACCACGCGCAGGCCTTCCACTACGACTTCCACCAGGGCGCCGCGGCGCACACGGCGGCCGTGGCTGCCGACGCGTACCCGCTCACGCCTCTGCATCCGTCACAGCAGTACTACCCCCAGTTACACCACGGCCACTCGGCGAGCGAGCAGGCGACGGAGCTCCACGCGGGCCTCCACGCCGGCCTGGCCGGGGCGTGCAGGGCCCTCAAGCCCGCGTCGGGGCTCGAGGAGCAGCAGAGGCGCGACCTGGCATGCTTCGAGGCTTACCACCGCCGCCACGACATCTCGCTCATGGGCCACGCGGGGGGACAGTTCGGGGTGCACCCCGATCAGCTGTTTCTGCCGGGGGGTCCCCCCCTTGGCCTGGCCGCGCATGGAGGAGGAGAGGACAGCCCGGTAAGGTGCCTCCACTGGCGATCGGAACCTTCTCCCCCTCCACGCGACTCCCACCGCCCCTCACAAACAACAGCCCCGCCCCAACCCCTTGTACGTGGTGAATGTTCTTGTGAAGTGTGGTGAATGTTCTTGTGAAGTGTGGTGAATGTTCTTGTGAAGTGTGGCGAGTTGAGCGGGCGAGGTTGTTGTTTTAGATCGTGTAAATTGTATTGAGAGTTTAGATGACCGCCGAGTTGAGCCGTCTGAGCAATGCGGCGTCATTATTTGTTAAGTGGCCAATTAGCAAAGCAGTAATTGTGATCACTGAACTGTGTCCTGGAAGTGAGCCCGAAAACAATTAGCGTAAAATGTGTACGTGAATTATTATGTACAGGTAAAATAAAAAGTGCAACTGTTGAAGGAAGCTTCCTTGAAGGCTAGTTAACTGAAACGTCGAACGTTTTTCTTTCTCAATGCCAGTAAAAAAGTATTTAAATTTACTGTCATGTTGCATATAGAGCAATTTCAATTGAGCAGCAAATAACCTGGTGTTAAATATTGAGATTATTATCCGGAGTAAGTTTTGATGGTTTAGTTTTATCGGCGATGACATTTAACTTATTTTTACACATCTATATCAATGGGGGACTGCATATAGCATCGTATTTATGCAAAGTGTCCGATGTATTACAACGCTATCAAAATCACAATACAACAAAAAAAATATTTTTGTATTGAACAGTTATAATTCGGATGTAAAGTGGAGCAGATACGACACCGTTTCGGCCAACTGGTTATATTCAGAAAATATTTAGACTTACAAGGAGAGAGCATTTTGTAGTTTGGTACATGCAGTATTTGCATTGGTCCATTGCAATGTTGAATCCGTATATCGGTGACCGCAATATTTTATTCGCTTATAATGTAATAAATATAAGTAATGTACAGTTTGAACGTAACGATACAAATCCATAATCTACAACGTAATTAACCAATTTATAAAAAAAATAACTACGTATGACATTGCGTTGGCACATGGTGCATAAGCACAAATGACAAACTCAACATTCGTCAACATAGTCCAACGTTTCGGGAAATCACCCTTTAAATTTGCATTTCTTCGTGATCTCTCGTGCGAGGAGTTATTGCTCGAATATATCGTCTTTAAGAGAAGCGTTATTGCCGTATGTGTCGAGTTTTTATAATGAGTTGAGCAATCGCTAGCAGTTAATTTAGAAGTAAATGCATTTGTCGAACAACTTGTAACGTAAAGATTCAACGAGCATTTAGGTACACGCGCAAGTTAACAGATCGTGATTTAAGTTAGTGCTGGCGAAGGAAGCATTGAGCAGAAATCAATGTAGAGGGTTGCCTCGCTTTACGCAGTAGTAGATGCGTTCCAAAAAAAGGGGGGGGGGGGGGGAGCGCACAAAGCGAAATCGCACGAGCAGCGCACACAGTACACAAACAATGTTCTCCCACGTCTGACCGCAAAAGCCGCATATGAGAGAATTCACATCGCATATAGCGATTTGTTTGGTAGAAATGGGTTAGCCGCATATACGGGGCGAAATTGTTCAAACGGAACCCGCATAGTGCGAGGGAAACCTGCAATTCGTGTCTGTTACCCGCGTCTCTGCAATAGCACAGATTTAACGATGAGTTAAATGATCACACCGAGCAATTGGGTTAAATCGTGTTTGTCTGTGTAACTCGATTGGCACGATTCCTCTGTGAATGCAGCCAGCAGCAGCAGTAACATTCACTCGCATTATTAGAGTAGTAACATTAATTCCGACGCGTGATTGCCACAGCTTGTGAACAACACAATGTGTGTACTCTGTGTCCTAACACACACACACACGCGTTGTGTATTTTCAATGCTGCAAGTAATGTTGTCTAGTAATTAGTACTGTAATACAGTATGCATTTCTCCGTCGTGTATATTCATCGTTATTAAATCACGAGCAAAATGTGTTTTTTTCTTCAAATTAAATCATGCGAATTAGGAATTAATTTTTAATTTGCCGATCGTTAATTTGATACAAATGCGGCGCATTGTTAATTGAATACAGTTAAACATTTGAATCGCTCAAGACTCGAGGAGGTGGGGTGGTTTGGAATTCAAATGCAAAAAAACAATTGTCGCGTTCTGCCTCGCATGCAAAGCGGCACATTTTGTAATGCGAAATATTTAATGTGCGCTCGACAATTCGCGCAATAATTTAGTTGATTACAACACGAGCAAAATAAACGAGCGTTAATAATTATAGCGCGCGATGCATGGAGAGAGAGCGAGTTGACTCGGACCCCACTCGCTCTACATGACACGTGTGTGAGTGTGTGTGAAATACTCGGTGTGTGTGCATGCCCTGGGTGATGTACGTGTATACAATGATGCTGTTGTAATTAATTAACCTAATTGAACCCGCAGGCTCGGTTTTCACAGGTGTGTAGGTTTTATCGAAAGAGAAGCCGAATGACACAATTAGATTTTGCTCACACACACAAAAACACATAAATACGGACTTTTTTCGTGGCTGTCAATCTTATGGGTCATCTTATCTGAATTACAGTATATAGTAAGCTCGGCAGACTACAACTACTAACTACTACGTAGAACGTGTGTACACGTCCAGAGGAAATTCTTCGAACGGGGTGACGTGCCACTCGTAATATATATACACACAAAATACGTTTAATTATTTAATTTCAAAGCCGTGTTAAAGCATCGGCGTTTTACACAGGTTGTCGTAGAACAGGTGAGGCGTGCCGAGCGGGGCCCCCTCTGAGCGTGGCAGCGACTCGCGTGCCACGTGAACACTTCCTAAACAATGCGAGCGGGATAATATTCGCAAAGATATCAGGACGCAAAGCCTTAACAGACTGCAGAAGAAGTGCTGTTCGCGAACACGTATAAAGGGCGGAACGGCACACAATGAGATGGGCCGCCAGCGCCACGCCGGGCCGCCTTTGTCTCCCCAGTGGCGATGTTTACACACCACACCAAGTACTCATTTGAGATCGAGTCGACCTAGGGGAGACCCAGGATCGGTTCAGATAATCGTCACTGTTGTGGACCGTGAGTGGGAATCGAACCTGGGTCGCTGGATTCGTGGCGCAGTGCGCTAACCGCGACGCCACCGCTCCCCAATAATAATCGTCAGTACACACACGAAATAGTCCCCGTAATAGCTGTTTAACAGGCTGTTGGGACACACTTGTTTTACATTGTGTAGCTACGAATGCCGGAACGACGCACGTGGGTGCGAGTGGTGTGGAAAGCTGCGTGCCCGGCCGTCTGTCTTCCCAGTGCTGATGTTTACACACCGTGCACATACACAACATATATGCGCGCGTATGTTGCACACGTAACTTCGTCGATCTGAATTTGTTTAATATTTTGTGTAATTGTATATACAGTATTTAATACAATGAAACAATTCAAATGAGTACACAATTTAACCTGTTGAGATTAGTAATTGGGTTTGGGCAGTTTAACGCGTTAGGCTTTCGCGACCAATATGATCTATAATAAAGGTCTTTTTTTGGGGTTAGATCGCGTAAATATTAATGCGTCGTTAAACCCGCCACCACCCGACGCAGTCAATTGTATGGTTTGTCACGTAAAACAAAAGGCGCTAATTGAGTTATTACTTCAGCACAGCCCGTGTGTGTTGGAGAGTAAACTCACGCTGGAAGGGACGATGATGATGATGGTCGAGAGTAGTGAGGAGTGGTAGCGCAAGGAATGGAAGGAACGTGGCCGTGGGGGAAATCGCCACGCGTTACAACAACCACAGATGATGATGCTGCTGCGTTACTACATCACGAGGGATGGCGGTAGATATGGAAATGTTTTTCATCCAGCAGTGGATTGACCATGACGGTGAAAATAACATTGTTTTTTTACAATACAGTATGTAGTACTGTATATATAATTCAATGCTGAGGATATTTCGACGCATCCGCAAACGGAATGACGTGTTGCTGATGGACATACGCGAACTGAGGATCCCTTCAATACATGTTTTTTGAGAGCAGTATATATTTTAATAAGTATATGTATGTACTTGTACTGCAATAGGGTTATTATTTGTATCGGTGTCACAATCTGGAACGTGTCTCCAGAAACGTAGTATAATAATGATTATCAATTTCTGCAACCGTTTTACTGTTGCTTGTAAAAAAATCCACAATTAACCATTATTCAGAGGCTAATAAAAAAAGCCCACTACTGTATATACGCAGGAGAAATCGAACCACTGTTTGCTTGCTTAGACGAATGCTGTTGAATGATATTGATCTCGAAAGCCGTTGGAATAAAACGAAGTTTGTATTTATATATGGAGATTATAGAACGGAGTTCTACATATATATTATAATGAACCTTTATAACAGGGTCATAATTCCAGTTTTATTCAAATACCGCAATAATGTTTCTATCAAACTATTCTCATCAACAACGACAATATAATTTAAATAAGTCACAAATTGAAAGAAAAAAAACGAAAGAGGAGTTGGGGGGATTTGGTGGGTCGAAACATAAAACAAGAATAGTTGAGAATATTATTAGGTGGTGACCTCCCGCATCTGCCACGAGTGACTGGCTCAGCCACTCGATCGCATTGATGCGGTGAAGTCCACAAAGATGTGGGGGGAGTGGGGCGTATGGGGGTGGGGGGCCCAGTCAAATGTAGATCACATTTTTTACGCCCCCCCACCCCCCAAATTCTAGCGACCAGCCGCTGCTTGCGATTGCGTGTAAGTGCAGTCTGATACATCTGGGTCGAGCCGAATCTACTACTGACACACATATATACTGTACGTGCGCGAGTGCGCCTGGTCGTATGTGTGTCATGCCGGCCTTCATAGGTGCTCGCTAACAGCACTTACCCCAATAGTTTTGTTATGGCTATACGGGGGACAGCTGTGTCTTTGTTTCGTGTGGTTGTATGCGCTGGGTCTCCCCTAGGTCGACTCGGCCTCAGTTGAGCACCTGGTGCGATGTGTGAACATCAGCACTTGGGGGGGGATACAAAGGCGGCCGGGCATGGTGCTGACCACACACCCCCTCGTGTGCTCGCAAACAGCACTCGCCCCAACAGTCTGTTAAAGGCTACACGGGGGGGGGGGGGAGGTCTTTGTGTGTGTGCTACTTACAATCAGCATCACGTGTGCACAATCGTGCATCAGCACGCCCGTAGGTTGACACCTCGCGCGCACGTGGAATGTGCGTCGGTCGGCAATGTCGTTTGATTAGGTTTCAACATCTCGGTGTGACCTTATCTGATTTTATATCTGTGGTAATTATACTCTTCGCGGTGAAGTATGGTCAAACGACCGACCCCCCCCCCCCTCCATGATAATTTTTCAGTGTGGAGGGGGTGGGGGGCTTCAAACCCAATCCAGCAGTGGGTTTATAAAAGGATGTGAATTATTACTCCAGTAACAATTATAAGCCGACGTAAGAGTCAAGAAATGGGAACGCGTTCGAGGATGAAATCACAATCCGTTAACGGTGCAAGGTGCCAGTGTGGATTCTTCTCACATCGCAGGATCGTGCAGGTGGCGACGTGGTGGGGTAGGGGAGTGGTGGGAGGGGGGGCTTCATCCAGCAGTGGATTTACAAGGCCCTTGTAAAGCATTAACATTTTACATTGTGTTGCTATTAAAATGATGATGACGATGATGGAGTGCTCGCGTGCACTCCCAACTGGTCCAGCATTGTCCGTGTAGCTGATCCCCCTTCGAACAAAAATAGGGGGGGGGGGGTGGGGGCTCTCGGACGGGCCGATCAGCCTCGCTGATTAAAAGTAACGCTTCACAGTTTATCCAATTGTGGGACTTTAACGCCGTTATTGTACAGCGACACCAGCAGCAACAGACGCCGTTGGGGTTTTTTTGTCTTCTTCTTCTTCGTCTTCCTCTTCTTCCTGCTTTAACTCTTCCCGCATTTCGTAGGCTACGGACAAAGGGCGGACTGGGGGCGGCAGACGACGGATTTAAGTGTTTCAGAGCTTATAAAATTAGCGGCAGAGAAAGGGCGAGTTAAAACACGAACAAAAAAACCCCAGCTCGCTCGCCTGGCTCAATAAAGAAATAAATGAATAGGCAGCTCGCTAAAAACGGGAGCACCTCAAAGCAAACACGGTGTTGGGATAATGGATATGTTAAGGAAGGGGAAGACGTGGTGGTGTGGTGGTGGTGGGTTGTCGCTTTACTTTACACGCTTTATTCACCTTCCACCCTGCAGCCTACTTCGCGTGGTGGGTGTTTTGAAAAAAAAACATATAAAGCTCTCTTGGCACTGGCAGATGGATGCGAGAGAAGGAAGCGGCCTCCCCCCCCCCAGACTTTTTTTACACAGCCACAGCGCCTACGGAGCAGAGGCTCCGTAGGCGCTGAAACTCCTCGAGAGCGCGCGGCCCTATGAAGAGATTTGTCGTGGCGGATAATGGGAGCTGTCACAACCTCCTCGCCGTCACGCGCCCACAGCCTCGAGTGTCAGTGACGGGGCACCCCCCCCCCTCCGGTCCCTGCTTAAAAGCCCGAATCACAGGAGGCGCGCTGACAACAAGACTGACGGAGAGAGGCGCACTTTCATTTTGCTTACAACAGTTGCCCCCCCCCCCACACAGTTCGCTCGCTCGTGCTAAAAAAAAAATCCCATCCCACCGGCGTGTCTTTTAACCGTGTCACGCACCGACAAAAAGACAAATCTCTCTCCCGTGTGTAGCCTTTAACATACTTTTTGGGACAAGTGCTGCTGTTAGCGAAGGCCTGGACAGCACACGCACACTTCAGACAACTGTACCATACACACACACACATATATATGCCCACGTACACCTATATAGTACACGCATACATGTGTTTATATGTAAATTCGTCATTTATCGTGAGTCTTGGTCAATCCCAAAGCTGGACGAAGGCCTCTCCCCGATGCCCCTGCTACCTGTGACGATCCTGCGAAAGTAATAACAACGATCCCATCGATCGCCACCTTGCACGCGAGCCGTTTTCATCGTTCCGTTTGCCCGGTGGATGTTGGATAATGCAGATTATAAATGCGTATAGACGTATTGTGCTTAGCCCCATTGCCTCCACCATGAAACAAAACGAGGCCTTGCCTTTCTGAATGCACGTCCTTCGTGTGTACCAGCTAATGTGCTCACAGACGGACGTTGACTTAGATCGTACAGATTCGCCTCTACCGATGCACGTGCATTCAGCTTCATGGGCTCAAACAATTAATTTGTGTCAATTATGTTTCACATGTTTTTTTCCCCTACACATTTGCAACGTGGGCATGCGTTTTTTTGTTGTCATTTTAGTACAATGATCAAATCGTGGTTGTAAATCGCGCGCGCTCGTTTGGTGTAATGTGGATATCACGTGGTGGTGGTGGTGGCGACGACGATTCATTACGCTAATGGCATGCAGAGGAATCGTTATAAGGCCCTTAATCTTTGCATAAAGGGATCGCGTAAGGCGACGCAACCGCTGTGCACAATGTTTTTTTTGTTAAAAAAAACAACTCCCTTCGTGTTTCCATTTGCCCAGGGCTGCCTTGAAGGACCAAGTGGATTGCTCATCAATGGCCCAGGCGGTGTCATAAGGAGGGGTAAGACATTCGGGACCGTGGCTGCACACATTGCCAAAGTGTGTCACGTCTCCACACGAGTTTTGTTTGTTTATACAGCTGCTTGTATACCTAAAATGTATACGCATATATATAGCGTGCAGGCATACAGCAACATGCAAGCCCTACACATATACACACATACAAGCATGCACAACAAAGTACTGCATATACTGTGGGCTATACACAATGCAGTAGTGGTTAGCTTCGACCAGCGGTGGATCGCTCCCTGTTTTGTTGAGCTCGGGACACATTAAAAAACACCTCGGTCATAAACAATGGGTTTCCTTCTTGGCCGATGGTAAACATTGTCGTTCATAATGGAGAAATGACCAAAGTGTAGCAGAGTGTTGGGTTGTTGTTGGTCACTGCTGACTTTGATCATAGTTCGTGCACTGAGCGATCCATTTGTAAGGTACCTCGCTTTAAATCGTATGGAGGAATTGTAGAGAAACTAAACATTTTATTTTGAATCTCCACACGTCGACCCACCGATCTCAATACACGTATTACGATTGTTACTGTTATTTCAACACGTTGTAAGATAAGGAGCCATCGCTTCCACGGTAATTCAATCATATGAAGAAAGTAAATGGTCGTGAGATGTCCGTGGGGAATTTATAAATGCATCACCCTCTATATAACGAGGCTTACTGTCGTGTGTTAAGTATGAATTAATCATTAAATGCTTGCAGTGATTTACTAAAGCCAGTGTAATCATCCATTTGTACAATTTCTTTGACTGCCACCTGTCATGCACTGAATAATGCGATGTGAATTATCGAGAATACATTTGTGTACCAGTTGTTATGTACATGACCTTACGCTATGGGAATAATATATTAATTGCTTGATATTGCTAATGTAACCCACGTGCCCAACCCATTGACAATCCACTATTGTGCAAGGTTAATTGATATAAATAAGTACACATATTTTTACAAATACTATACATCTTAAACACTGCCTTGCACCGTCGTTCCGTTACGATAACATTGGGTCTTTAATGTTCCATTTTAGAGATCGTTGCGCACTTTGGTAATCCCCATGGAAAATGACTTGGTATAGGTGTGCTGTACAGTATATGAATTAAGCGCAATGCCAAAAACGTTAACATTCACATTTTTCCTGTCATAAGCCATTGGTGCATGTATTTGTTAAAAAAAACGTGCATCTCAATGTTATTATGTTTATAAACTTGTAGCAATCATTGATTTACAATTTATGATTTTTTTTATGAACGTGAAATAATTACAGCAACGATCTACGGAACTTTGCAAGAGAGACGTGCAGACCTGCTAGGTGTATGCAAAGAATAACAAAAAACATTGTTTTTTTCATTCTCAATTCAGTTGTGGATATATTAGAGACTTGGTATTTGGGCCACGTAATCTGTGTAACTGATTCTTTAAAACCCACTTTGTATGGCTAATAATACTACAATCTAAAGCCCCCGCTGAAACAGGCGGCATGTTCTGTCTAATACCCAGTAGCGTTTTTTTTACGGAGCCCAGGTGAGAATCATTCAAATACAGCATAAAATGGCCCAGAGGCAAACATGCAGGAGTGAACGTGTACCAATCCTGCCTTGTATAATCTGGAAATGTGTACATATGTACACACTGAGCTATCGCTTTCACAGTATTCAATCGCCTGTTGAGGGCAATTATGGTCATTCGAAATCGGTGGGGGTATCCATTGGCCCACGTTATTTCCTATATAGGTATTTAAGCCTCCTGTTAGTCCATTAATAGTCTATCGTGACAGAAGCTCTCACTGCTGAGCTCTGTTGTACTGTGAACCGATGGTTCGATTCCTGCTTAGAGCCACCACCAGCTGCAGTATTGTATTCGCCAAATTATAGCGGGCGCTGGTAGATTGTGGCGTAGTTTGTAAGAGCAAGACAATGGTGTGCCATTATCACAAACCCCACACCCGCATTCAGAAAATGTACCCCGTGTGTCTAAGTAAGTGTTTGCTAAATGTGACTAGAGTACCGGTACATTTTATCTACAACGGGAGTAATCAGAGTGGCGGAGCGGTGGCCCAGTGGTTAGTGCACTGCACGCTACAAACCCGACGACCGGAGTTTGATTCCCGGCAACAGCTGCTCACATCAGCGGCGACTGATATCTGAACAGAGCACCTCTACCCCCACCCTTCTTCCCGGTCTTGACCAACCTGCATTGGCCAAAGCAACGTGGTGAAGTTTGTTAAAACAGCTCCCACGACCCGTGTGGCAACGGATCGGTTGATGCCTTTCATCAAGCAGTGGATTTACCATGGACTGTTATTCTGCAAAATAACACATTTCGATTAACAATGGAGAAACAAAGGCGGTCTGGCGTGGCGATGGATTCCCCCTGCCGGCTTATGCCCGGTGGACATCTGTGAAAAAGAGGTTTACAGTCCATCGGATTCCTCCAGCATAAAGAAATATTCTGATAAGAGGTGCTCGCTAACAGCACTTGCCCCAACAGTCTGATGAAGCTATACGGGGGATATATGTCTTTGTGTCTTGCGTGTGCGGGAAGCGGTAGTGTAGCTGTTAGCGCGGCGGACCCGAGTTTGAGTCCCGCTCACGGCCAACAACAGTTACGATTGTTCGAATCTGTCCTGGGCCTCCCCTAGGTCGGCTCGGCCTCAAATAAGTACCTGGTGCACTGGGGAGACAAAGGCTGGCCGGGAGTGATGCTGGCCACAGACCCCCTCGTGTGCCGCTTTTGCCCAAACATGATATACGGGTTGGGGGGGGGGTCTTTGTCTTTCTGTGTGTGCGAGTGAGAGATTATTAAAGTCCTTTGCCTGCACCTTCGATTATTATCACGGTTGGCTATGTACGGTGCGAAATGAGTTCAACATACATACAAAGTGTGTGAGTTATAATCTTACATTCGCGCACCCGCCAAGACAAAGATTCTGCCCATATATCCAGAACAGACTGTTGGGGCAAGTGCTGTTAGCGAGCACCAATGAAGGTTGCCATGACACACGAAGGGGTGGGTGGCCAACACCACGCCCGGCCGCCTTTGTCTCCCGAGTGGCGATGTTTATACACACACACACATCGCCACCACGTACTCCTTTGACGCCGAACTCGAACAGGTCCATGACCGGTTCAGATAAACGTCACTGGTGTTGGCCGTGGACGGCAATCGAACCCGGGTTGCCGGGTTCGTAGCGCAGTGCGCTGACCGCTATATTACTGCTACCCCCCCCCCACACACAACACACACTATATCACTCTGTCACCTACCACACGGCCAAGCGCTGTCGACACGCGTGGTCCGTGAGCGGTGGAGGAGGCGGCGCGCGCGCATCGCTGCTCGCTCGGCGCGTCGCCGCCTGACGTTGCGTGTGATCCGCTCCTCCGCTCGCCGCGGGCGACCCCCACAGCCTAACCGAGACTTTCGCCCAGGGCGCAAAAAAAGAGAGGAGGAGGGGGGAGAGAAGTAGAGCTGGGGGAGGGATGGTGGGGTGGTGGGTGGAAGGGTGTATTGTAGATGGGTGCTCTTTTTTTGTGGATTCCGCTCTCGCTTTTTTTTGCCGTCGGCGACAGAAACTACAAACTGCTTTTGAATCAAAACATTTTCAACATTAATATGAACGAAACGGCACCGCACATATCGCTTTGCTTGTAACGTTGCCTGCCCACCCCCCCCATCCGATCTCGGCGCGTCGAGAGGCGCCTTCATGAGATAATTTGTATATGTCACAACCCTAAAGGGGCGAGAGCCCCTCTCGCCAATCTGAGCCGAAGCCCGAATGAGCATCTTTTATAGCGATCTCTCTCCCTACCTCACCACCCCACCGAACAAAAGCCACGTGGCACGGAGGAGATGCGTGCCATCGTGAGAAGCGTGCGCGCCTAGGGTATTCGCCGAATCGGAATTCTTTTTTGTTGTTGTCCTGGAGAAATCTGACGGGCTACGAAGCTCTTCGTACCACGCGTCCAGTAAACGGCAGTTCGCATTGGCGCAAGAACGCCCGCCGTATTGCCACCTATTATCAGCGCCCTGTGTGTGTCGTGTGTTACGATGCACGTGTGTATTTTAAATGGCCCCGTTATACATGTGTGAAGTGTGTCAGTAGTGGGAAGGAGAGCGGTGGTTAGCGCACTGCGGCCGATTAACCCCGGGGGGCGATTCCAGCTCGCGGACGACACCAGTAACGTATAAATAAATCAGACTTTGGCCTTCCCCTAGGTGGACTAAGCCTGAAATGAGTACCTGGTGTATGCATAAGCACTGGGGAGACAAAGGCAACCGGGCGTGGTATCTGTGTCGTGCCCGCCTTCATCTGTGCTCATTAACAGCATTGCCCCAAAAGTCTGCTGGCTATATCTGGGGGTCTTTGTTATACATCTCTTACCTATAAAATTCATTTTTTGTCTGTCTCTCCCTCTGTCAGTCTGCGCACGCGCGCTTGCGAGGAATTTGGCTCTCAAACGGTGGGGTTTACGTGAAATAAAATGTCCCTGGTACCACGCTGTAGGCATCGCGGTGGGCTTAGCGCTATTCAGTTTTCCCGTCACTCACCTTTAAAATAGTTAAAATAGCGGTTTTTTTTAGCGATTTCTCTTTATTGAAATATTTAGTTCCGATATTATTTATTTATTTCCCTTCGCCGGTCGGGGCGGGACAACGTGCACAAGCTGCGCATGCGCACAACGCTCATCACGGTTAGCCCCTACAAACTCTCACGCGCCATTGCCGGAGGTGTGCGGGCTCTTTAATTCGCCTGCACACTCTACAAGGAACGTCGCTCACATTACTATTGTAAGCATTTATAAAATTACACTTTGCACTGCTGACAGGGGTTGCCCCTAGCAACGCACACACGATTGGCACACATTTTCATTCGCGTTAAAAATGCAACAACAACACAACGCTGAGCTTAATTCTTCATAGTGTGATGTCCTCTTCTCCCCACTCCACCCCAATGCGTCCTGTTGCTACTATAGAGTCCCTAGATATTAAAAT